GGACATCATTGATTTTTCCTTTGATATAAATTCCAGGGCATTTTTCAACATTTCTTTTGACATCATCAGTAACAAGGCTAATATCTTTTATTTTATTTTCAGATAGGTCTTCATTCAAAGTCTGCTCCTGGATCGTCTCTCGACCTGCAGTTACGATCCCCTGAAGTTTAAATTTCCGGGATATTGTGGTGCTGTACTTCTGAAGTTTTGCTGGGTGACAACTGGACAGTCACGAGCAAAATGACCCTGATTGTTACACTTATAACAAGCTGTATTGGAGGATGTTTTAAATCTGGGAGGAAAGGCTGAGGATTTATTCATCTCGGACAACATCTTTTCAAGATTCTGGATTTGTCTTTGCATTCTTAGTATATCATCTTTGAGATCCGCATTGGTAGTTCCTGATGTTTTAGATTTATGCATTGTTGTAAACGAAGCATCATTTTGTGAAACTGTCTTGGATTGCTTTTCTTTATTTTCAAATCTCTTATTACTTCCTGTTTTTGTATCATTTTCAGTCACTGCCCGAATTGGACGTTTATCGGCCTTTGAAGAGCTCCTTTTATGAAGATCGCTGAAATTGATCACTTGGAATACAGCATCATCAATGTTGTCTGGCTCTTTTATGTATTCGACCTGGAACTGGACTTTCTCATCATTGAGACCATCAAAGAATTTTCGAAGTAGATCCTCTCTGCGTATAGTCTCGTCTCTGTTAGGGTATGCCTTGGCATATAGTTTCTTTAAGTCTGCGGCATAGACTTCTACAGGTTCATTTGGTTTCTGTCTACGGTTGCTGAACTTAGCTTCCAGTGACTTCTTAGTTTCTATAACTTGGTATCGATTATCTAACTCTCTGATTAGTTTCTTGTAATTAGATCTTGTTCTTTTTGTAAGTTGTTCAAAGACAAATTCTCCTGCTCCACCTTGCATTCTAGGTAATAGCTCATCAAGTCTTTCATTGTTTGTCCAATTTCCCCTGTCTGCAATTTCTTCAAATCTGCCCTTCCATACAACCCATTTTTCTTTATCTTGACCAGTAAAGGGAGGTAACTTATGAGAAAATTTTCTGGGATGTCTCTTTTGAGTTACAATAGATGTAGGTATGCTCTCATCATCAGAATCTGATGTACTGCTACTGGTGGAGTCATCTGAGAAGGATGAATTTTCATCGATCAATCTTGCCCGTTTAAGCTGTCTCTCTGACTGAGTTTTTCTAGAAGCACGTCTATGTCTGGACAATGTTTTAGACTGAGCTGTATCTGTACGACTCCTTCCAGGACTCTGGCGCTGTACTGATACACCTGATTGGACTGTATTCAAAAATTTCTGCATGTCCTTTAAAATTGTGGCCAAATCATCTCTGTTGTCAGACAACTGATACATAGGGGGCTGGTATACTGGATTGTTCATTTGTTTACTTCTGACATCTTCGTGATTTTGTCTCGTAGCATTTGAATGATCTGATCTAGTAACTGGAGGACAGGAATATGGACGCCCATTCTTTGGAGGGACCGATTCATGCAAATCATCTATAGACGAATCATCTGTCAAATCATGGATTGGTAGCGGAAATTGATTAGGGTTATCTCCCCTATCGAGGATGAACATTTGTTCATTGCACCTTTCTGGTGTTGTATGATTTTGTTCATTTGTAATAAATGATTGTGACACATTTTCTGTGTTTAAAGGATTCATATGTAATGAATTGTGCATCAAATTTGATGTTGAAGTTGTGCATGACATATGCATAGTGTCTTGTACAGTAGATTTACTGTTTATAACACTTTTATTTCCAAAAGGATTTTCAATTCCAGTTTTTAAACTGTTATCAGAATTTATTTTGTCTACACACTGCCTATCATTTTTCTGTCTCACACTCGCATCATCTGACATCTCACCAGCTTCTACAACAACCAGACCCTTTCTTTTATTCTTTCCCATATTATCTATCTGAGCACTGCCTAATCAAAATAAAAATAAACTTGCACATCAACTTTCATTTTTACAAACAACTAGCAAAAATATAAAAAGGTTCGTATCTCTGGATACCTATAAAAATGAAAGGTATCCCGCCGTGGATGCCAAAAATGTAACGCTAGCGGTTCTGCTAGAAATTGTTTTCATAGAATTAATAATTCGCTCAACTCCTTTAATAAATGTACCATTCGCAAAGAAGACATAAGATTATAAACATTAAACAATTAAATTTATTAAGTGCATTATCAACAAACAATTTATTTAAACGACGACATTCACACCACATTCATACCAAACTAATTATAATAAATGTTTAGTTAAAATAAATAATTAGAATCGTACCATAAAACAGACTGAAAAACCACCCCAAAAATCTAACGTATCTATTCCTATGCGTATAAAAATATGTGACAACAAGTCGTAGTTATTTATAACTTTGACTTGTAAAACTTAACACCAAGCTTTACTGTATTTAACAGGTTAGCTTGTTAAACTCCTAAAATACTTTATTAAATAAGGACACAAGCCGTGGTTATTTATAACTTTGACTTGTTAAACCTAACAACAAGCATTACTGTATTTAACAGGTTAGCTTGTAAACACTAAGGGCAAAGAAAGATAACTCTAATAATCATAAGTAAGTTTATCGAGAAGCAACGTTTAAAAATTCCCAAGTACTCTACTCTAATAAAATAATTTCTATTATAAAAATAATTAAAGAAAAATTTACGTATCTAGAATAATTAAATTGCTGTATGTAAATAAAATAAATAATTGACTTTCGTTGAACTAATCAACTTTAGTCATCATAAAAGTGAAAGATAGCAAACGTATAACTTTAGTTACATAGTTTGCATTAAAATAAAAATGAAATAAAATAGAGTAAAAATGTAAAATAAAATAATCCTAGATAAATTAATTACTAAAGAAGACTACTCAGTCATAGACTGTTGAGTCTTTAAAACAACCGATAGCGGACAATAGTATTTTACTATTTAATGTCCTAGTCGGTTAAATTCTATCCTAACTAAATAAATCAAAAATAAAATAAATTCCTAAATAAAATAAATAAATAAATAAAAATAAAAGATAGACAAAATAAAAGTTAAAATAAAATCCTAAAAAAAAATCTGAGAGTTCCGTAAAACGGACCTACCAAATCAAAATAAGCAGAAGAGTGACTAAAAATTCTCAGCGTCTAACTTTTATATGACTCTATGACAGAAAATAACGGAAAATGCTGGAAAATAACGGATATTAACAGAATTATTAATTATGAAATTTCATTGGATTATCAATTAATGATCAATTATATCGAACAATCTGATTGGTCAATTGTAAAACATCACGATCTTTCACGTGAACAAGTGTCACCAAATATTCTATACAAGTATGAAATAATGAATTTTTACATATTTATCAATTAAATAAAAATATATTTCACAATAAATAATTAAAACAAAACAAATTAAACTTAAAACAATATTCAGTCTATCTAAAAATACAGTCATTTATAAGATACCGCCATTCAAACTCGATATATTTATCGGTTATATTACAAATGCAAGGATAAATTTATCAATTACTTTAACAAGTTTCTAAACCGGAAGTACATCGTAATGAAGAGCGAAACTGTCAAACAATGTGACAACAGAAATTTAGACTATTTCACAGGTATTATATCAACTAAATAACACTAAACAAACAACAATTACTTACTATTTGACACAGTTATAGTCTTAGGATGTATACTTAAGTGCTGATTTACAAATGACATACTTTATTAATCTTTTACCAAACTCTAACTCAGTTCGAATTATCTCAGTCATGTTTATGTTATCAAAATATATCAATCTACCCTTGTTTCACAAGTATATACATTTACAATTAAGTGACTTAGGTACAACTCTGCGAATAGAACATTCATATAAAACAAAATAAAACTGTGAATAAACAAACTTCATCAACCCGCTCCAAATCACCACAATGCATGATAACATATTACAGTCATTGACCCTATTTGATAGAAAAATCAACCCGCTCCAAGCTCACACACATATAGCAAAATATTACAGTCATTGACTCAGAATGATTAAACACTGTTGTGGATAAAATAAAAAAAGTTACACCATGTAACCTAACATTACTATTATTACATCATTTAAAAAAGGGGGGGGTCACATGCACTACATCTATGAAGGTTCTTTTGTTTTCAAGTATCGTAATTGAAAGTAGATTTTGTAAAACAGGTGCGTCTTTTTACCAATTTTAAAAACCCTAACCATCATTCATTTATCTATGCACATCTGTGTACATCAAGAGCCTGTCCCACTTCCATGCCGATATGGGTACTTTTTGCACCTCTATGTTGGAGAATTACATTTTGAAACTTGTGTATTGACAAAAACCCTATGTTCCATTTCAAACATCAAAATAAAGAAACTTAGTGCTTTCATTTCCTATAACAAAGTTTCCTCAGGGAGTCCTGGCATTGGAAAAAAGGCTCTGAAAAATTGTAATCTTCTGGAAATTTGCACAAAAAAAAACAAAAACAAAAACAAGATGTATTTTGAGTACCTTCAGGAAAGAATCAAAATTTAAAATATGAGCCAAAATATAAAACATGTTTTAAAATTTTAAGAACAGTTCTTTCATTACATAAATGCACATTTTAGATCAGAGTTTGGGCTCTGTGTATAATATTGAAAATCGTTTTTGTACAATGAATTCGTTTTTGCGCTTATTTTGACAATTTGTTGCATTTTTGTTGATTTTTTCAATGGCTTACGTGATTGCTCTATATTAATACACCGCTTTTGGTGGCACATATTTTAGCACCATATTTATGGGGACCAACATACTAAAAGTGTTCTGGATGAGGCATTATTAATGCTGAATAAAACATATACAATGACATTGGTGTGCAAGGGATATTTACACCCAAATGATTAAGCATATTTTATCCCATGCATAAATTTCTATTTTACTATTTTTATTTATTTATTTATTTATTTTTACAGTTTCCATGGAACTAATTTTGTAATGGAGAGAAAATGGTGTAAAAAAATAAAACAGTTAATAAAAGATGGTAGACCAGCCAAGTTAAAATCTTACATCAAGAAGCATGATATCGATGTCCAACACTTTCAGTTTACCAATGGAGGAACAATTCTACATTACTGCTGTAAATACCATGAATTTAATGGATTTAGGTAAATTGTACTATATTTATTCAAAGTCAGAATAATGTCAGAACTTACTTGTCTAAAATAAAAAGAGATCACTAATAATAAAATGTATGTAGTCAATGCATATTTATCTGTATTGTGACTGTTCTTTCTCTCTCTCTCTCTTTAGGAGATATCATGTAGATATATGTAGTAATTAAGGTCCAGCATTATAAGCACCCTGTTGCAAACAGCTGTGTCTGTCTGCCTGTCATTTTCTAATTACTTGTCTGGAGTATATTTTCTCTCTCCTTGTCCTGATTTAGCTCATATTTCACCCAATCATCTTTGATGATTTCACTTTTTAAATAAAGAGTGTGCAGTGACTTTGGTCCAAGTTTCTAGGTTAAGATCAACTAACAAGGTCAAAACAGTTCCTTGTGTAAAATCCTTATCTGAGTATATTTTCTCTCCCTTTAACCTGCAGGCCTTTAATAGTTTGCTTTAATCTGACTGACAAAACTGGGGGTATAAGCATTTTCAAAAAAGGAAATTGCAACTAAAATGCTATTGCAGATATGATTATAGGAAAAAATACTTGGAAGCCATCATTTCCAAAGGTAGAAATCTGATTTTGAACTCTTTCCATTGGGATTTTTCCCTTTCAAATATGATGTGTTTATTCCCTTGAGTCCATGAATACTAGGACTGGGACGATACAACTTTTTTCTATAATTGATACGTATCATGATACAATGTATTTGAGCCATAATATGATATGTATCACAATATTTTGAATTAGTTATAAAATCCTCTTTTTGTACCGAGATGAACAAAACATTTCTTCACCAGAAAGAATAACTCATTCATAGAAGCTGTATATCTGTTGTAAAACAAAATTGTTTCGCACAAGTGGTGTTAATTATTATGTATTTCATATTAATACTTATATTTAGCATGTTTATCTTATATATTAAACCCAAAATGTTAAGTAAACAGAGAAAAAAAAAAATTTTAATTTTTTTTTTGGTATTTCTTCATACGTATAGATATGCGTATCATCCTCACATCAGTATTATCGATATATCAATACATGTATATATTTTCCCAGCCCTAATGAATACATTGTAATAGCTTTGCCCCAGTTAACAGTACTGTTAGGAAAGTCATGATATGACACCACATTAAAAAAAAAATAACAGAAAAAAATCTATGCAATGCATACATAATTTGTTTCACAAACTTTATTATTATTTTGCAGATACTTTACTGAGAAGGGAATTTGCTTGTCCACTAAAGACGACGATGGGAATACTGCCCTGCATATTGCTTTAAAGGAAGCCTTAAAGAGAAGACAAAGGTCTGAAGTCAGTGAAAGTAAGTTTCTTTACATTAACATATTCTTAAAATTCTTTACTTCATTTATTGTTTTTTAGTGTATATTGAAAGTGTCATACGATAAGCTGTGTGTATAATATGTTTAAAATCTGGCTTTCAGATTGATATTTAAAGCTGACATGACTTGTAAATAGCTATACACCATATTAGTTTTTCTATCTCCGATATCAGCACTAGGGTATATATATATATACCCTTTGTGTTGTTTCACCTGATTGCAAACCTGGAACTCATGGCTAATATGTATCATTTCCTATGTTGTCTAAGTGTTTACATTTTACTTCATTGTTTTACTTGCATTTCTGTCTGCTTTTAATGCATTGACCTGTGCAGTTGACATTCATTTTTTTTCTCCTGACGTGGTAGAGTTGCATACATTGATAATTTTATCACTATCAAGTAATAACATCAATGTAGAAAAGGTCTACACAGGTAAGATCTGTGCACCGAAACATTTCAAACCATAAAGAAGTCAGAGGCTTGAGAAATGAGGCAAACAAAAAGGAATATGGTGGGCAAAGATAGATTTCTCCTTATACCAGTCATGTTCTGCTTTAGTTTAATATTTTGATACACAACTGAATGTAATGTAGATATATTTTAGCAGGAATTTTCTGGAATTTTATTAGAAACTGTTTTATCACTATTTTCAGTTTACAATCAGATTATTCTGCCAATACTTGAGCGACATCCAGAATCCCTGAAATGGAGGAACCATCACGATATCACCTGTAGAGATCTCCTGGATCAGCTCAGAGAGAAACAAGATGAACAGGTAGGCAATAGGAAACATAATGTCTATAAGTTGTTGGTGTTTTATAGGAAAATTCAGAAATTAGTATTTCTCCTTCTGTAACATCTCACCTACAGTATTTGTACACAATGTAAATATATATTTGTTTATCACACATAAGTACTGCAGTACAGATAAATATGTTTTAAAAAATCATCACTCACAGGGACAAATGTCTAATGACTAAAACACATCTGATGTCATACATATCCTCATATCTTCAGCAGGCTAAAGAGTTTCATTTCCAAATAGTTTTTCATGATTTAGTTGTCAAAATTTGAAGGGAGCTAACATACTGTAATACCATTTACCAGTTCATGTAGTTTCAGCACCATGACTGTTACTGTTGACTTTTGGTTCAAGGGCAAAATAGCTATTGACATGAATTCCCTACCTGATTCTTTTAGTACCATTTGGTCAAGATTAAATTGGCATCAGATTATCACTGGCTCATTAATGTCTAGAATTTAATAAGAAATGATAGCTATTTGGTCCATGTAGGTTTCAATGGTTGTAAAACATATTTTTCATTTTGTCTCTAGAAAACCTTATCAGACAGCTCTAATGACTTCTGATAATTCTTGTTTTTTTTTCCTGTAGTGTAGAGAAAGTCCTGAGGAGAGCTGGAATGATAAACTTGCTGATGAAGTAGAGCATGAATACCAGGAGGACTGGGGCAGCAGGTTTACAGGGGGTAAGACAACTGGGGAAATTATTGAATTAAATCCAGTGTGAACCATATCTATAATTTAATTAAACAACTTCTGTGGCTTTATGATTATAGTACTGTTGTCACTTAGAAAAGATACTGAATTGTATTCATAATTTTCTCCATACTCCATTTCTTTACCAAAATTTAGTTGCTGCATTAAGTCAAATATAGATTTCAGATTATGTTGTTATTTTTTCTTATATATCAACATTCAAAATGGTAAAATATTGCTTTAAAATATTTTTATGCAGATTTATCTGAAGAGGAGAATTTCCAAGAGAGCTACAGTGATTGGTCAGAGAGAATGCATTGTGAATTTCATAAAAAGCGTAAATATAGTACTTCATTACCAAGCTCCAGTAAAAAACCAAAGAGTCAGGAGCAGGACTTCAACTCTAAACTCAGACAGGAAAGAGAAAAAATGAGGAAAAAGTATGAAGAAAATCAGAAAAAGGCTCAACAAAATTACAAAAGACATCAAAAGGATGTGTATGAAAGGAAATGGCAAGAATTATCTGAAAAAATTGTGGAAAAGCAACTTCATTTTTCAGATATTCCATGGCCATTCAAAAAAAGTGTTAGTGAATTAGAAGACTTCCTCTTCCATGATTTAACTGAAAGTGAGGCTCGAAAAAAATATCTAAGGGACCAAGTGAAAAGATGGCACCCTGACAAATTTTTGCAAAAGTTTGGAAATCACATTTTATCTACAGACAAGGAATGTGTCTTGCAAAGGGTTAAACAGGTGTCACAGGAATTGAATCATCTGTTTGAGAAATTTAAATGAATTAGAGAAGGGATGTGTTGGATACTGATATCAGAACTTGATCGACATATGCACCAGAATGTTCCTTATACTTTCTCTTTTATTAAATAATGTGATGGTTAAAAATATTATGTGTTTTTATACAATGAAATATTGAAATGCAGAGTATTTTTACTAGTTTGTTGTGAATTATTTTACAAAAGCTTTGTCTTGGCCCTTGCCTACAGATTTACTAGTTTATATTGACAGCATTTAGGCCTACATTAAAAACTGTTTCATGTCCTAAAAAGGCATATACTGTACGTGTACATAAATTGGCGTATTCAAGATTTAGCACAATCACTGTGTATGGAGTTGTTGGCGAAATCATGAATTAGCGCTATACATGTTTGTGTCCTATATTGTATTTATAAATGATTTCTAAGCAGTATTCATGAATTAGTGCATCGTTGTCTGTGCCAAAGACGCTAAAATATGAAGCCCGCTTTTTTAAGTACACATACAGTATTTCACAAAATGTACAATTTCTTTGGCATGACTTTTTTAGTGGTTTGATCCGTGTATCCTGTTTTCATATCATGTTTTTGCACAAGTTATTATCTCGTACACAGGACATAATATCTTTTTCACACTACAAGGTTTTACAATTACATTTATTTTTTTAAATTTTGATCTTTTTAAGTATAAATTAATACTGTACATCTCAAATGAAATCTTATAATTTTGCTCACATCAAAATTTGCAAATATATGATTTGTTCAAGAGGAATTCCAATTTTCATTTTGAATCTTTCAATTAGATCTAGATATAACAAATAATAGGAACATGTTTGCTGAATTTAAATTACTGATATTTTTATCACAGTGTGCAATTCACAGACCCATAGGAAGCTTTTCAAAAGAGTACAGAATGCTTAGTTTGAGAGCGGAAGGGCCGTAGCAAATATTTTCATAGACAAAAAAAAGGTGTTTGGGGAAGGGGATGGTAAATTCCATCTCCATTATCTAACAACTATAACTACAGTGGTAGCAATTTTAACGAGGTTCGCTCCTGAGCTTTTGAGCAGATTTTTATTTTAACCTATATTTAAAAAAATCTGCTTAATGTTTTAATTCTTACAATAAATCTGGATTCTACAATGCCAAATAAACTATATTCAGTTAAAAGTCCATGATTAAATTCCCTAATAAAAGCATTAAGTGAGGAACTATATTTTGTGGCGGAAGGTTTTTTAGAAGAAAATGATCATTTTTTCTCTTTCGAAGTATTTAAAGTATGTTAAGTTTGGATTCCTATTTTTACATGCAGTCTTCAAACAGAATTATTTTGAGCAGTGAACTGATTTATACTGGTCCTAAATTATATATTTAATAAACTGTCATGAATTCAATCATCATATTTGATAAATAAATCAAATATATTGTGAAAATCAAGAGAAAAAATAGCCCTAATTTAAGCTCAAAATTAGCACTATTTTAGTAATATCTAAAAATTATCATCACAGACCCCCACTTTTAACTTTCATTTCTGAATATACAAGATACTTTTAATCATTCTTCTTAAATTCAGTAAAATGTAATTACTTTTAAATTAGTTTTTTGCTTGTTAAATTTGCAATGCTAGCAAAATGAAATTTTTTGAGTGCAAAAAGGTCAAATAATTGAACGTGCGGAGTAATTTAAAAAAAATTTTCGTTGTCAAAAATTTTAATGGGTCTATTCAAGATGAAATAAAACTGTGTTTGTTCCCATAACTTATTTGAATAAAAAATATTGGAGGAAAAACTTAAAAAATTGATTTATGTGTAAGACGTTTTTACAGTGCAAAAAGGTCAAACTAAATGCTCTGTAGCGCCAAAAGAAGCGCATTGACCCCAATTTTTTGTTTTGATTTTTAATTAAGCTATGTGTATAAATTCTAAAAATATACTTGATAAAAAATTCTCATTACTTTTGATGTCAGGATCCAACCTCCTTAAGGAGATACATGTAGATGCTATCAACACATGACATGTTGGGGGAAAAGTATTGTTGGTGGAAATGTTTCCGTTTCCCAATTTTGAGGACGGAAAATTATTTCAAGCACTTGGTACATTTCTATTGTAAATGTTACTTTATACCACTGTACAATCCTGTCTTATTCAATACCAGTTAGTTATTAAATTTTAAAGCAAATATTCAATGAACAGATTCAGATAAATATTCCCTGCTTTTACTGAAAGAAAGGGAACAAGAAATCTTAATTACCAGAATATAGCCAACCTAATTTTCTCAAAATATATGCCACTTTCAATCATATCTACATGTTCTGCGCTATCATTTTTTTCCTGTATATATATATTTTCATAATACCTGTATTGCCAATATTGGTAAACCTTTAGTAAAGTACAACTGATTGCACAGAAGGTCATATAGAAGTGATTGAAGGGGAATTGCATGTTTTTATTTTAAAAACAGATCATTTTCTTTTCACATTTACCTGCAATATTAGAATGGGTTTCAAAGAACATGGGCAAATAAGCAGAGAAAAATCCCCATGGTTGGACAAAGGAAGTGGAAAATTTAATCTCATGCATAAAAAAATTTCCCTGTGCATATATGTTATAATACACCATTATATATACATGTACTACAATTAAAATCCACAATACGTTACAATCTCTTTAAGTATTTATGTTAGGCCATCTTAAAAAAAATTGTTTGTTTGTCCTCTCCTGGCCAACTGGTTTAAAATGGGCCGACTCAAAACCTATTTAACCTCCAAGAAATTATTTTTTTTTTTTTACTTTTTTCCCCCTGAATCTGTCAACAAATATGTTGAAATTTTCCGAAAAAAAAATCCCACCTAGCTACAGACCTAATTTTTTTACTCTGAGGCTGGAGAGGGCAAACAAACATTATTATAAAGATGGCCTTATTTAAGCATGCAATATCAAAGATGGCAAAAACGACTATTTTCTACGGCTGGGACAATTCAGAGTTCAATCGATTCGGTTCGGTTTTGGTTCAGAATGATAGGGTTTGAGTTCAATTCTATTTGATTATTAACTTTAAAAAAGTCTAAATATTTCTCATCATGAATGAAAAATAATAATCGCTGCTTTATAAACTCCTTTACTTAAGGATAACAAACATAAAATTCATTAAAAAAATAAAATATTGTAAAAGGAAAAGGTGTTTGTGAAATAAAAAAAACTAAATCACTGACTTCAAATTGGCACAATCAGCATAAAAAGTAGTTTTGATCTCCTATTGGCGGCCATTTTTGTTAATTGTTTACCTGTTATGTAAATTTTGAACCAAATCAAACCAAATTCCAGAATTCTGGATCCGTGCACCAATTGAATAGTCTGAACCACGATGCACCGGAGTTTTCAGTGCACCACACAGCCCTACTATTTTCCCATACTCTTAACACATTTTCCTTTATCAGTGGATCTTTGCTCCATTTTTAAAGCATATATCTTCAAAAATTGTGTAAAACTATTAATTCTTTGGTTAAAAAAATATGACAAAAGATCCACTTTACAAATATATGTACACTTTTATGACATAATATTCATATCTTTCCTGGAAATATTTAAAGTCCATTTATTTAAGGGTCATGTTACAAACAAGAAAAATGCTGACAACTGTTATGAGAACTGTTATAACTGACATAGTGGTTTACTAGAGACTCTGGATTTTTACTACTTAGGTTCAATCGCCCACAGAAACAACAAAGGCATTTTTGTTTACCGTAGAAGCTAGAATTTTTCCGAGAGAATTTTCCGCAGAAAAAATTTGTTTTTCATAATTTCATAACTGTTAATAATAAGGACGTCGTCCTAAATACTTAATTCATGGATTGAATTTGAGTTTTATAATGAGTTTTGAATTTGAGGTTATAGGCATTGCCCACGCCGTATCCACCCATGTTCTTTACAACCTTTCTCTCCTCACATCCAGTGCAGCGCACAGGCACTAGACGTAATGGAGTAAAATTATACCAGAATGTGTATGAAATGCTAGGAACTCATGTGTTTTTGAAAAGTTATTGCGTCGTTAAAAAAATCTCAGAAGGTGTAGGCGTGTGTGTGTTTGGGGGGGGGGGGGGGTATGCCATCCATAAATCAGGTGCCTGTGGATTAGTACACAAAATCGAGTTATTGGCGAAGCTGTATTGTATCAGGGACTGGGGACAAAGGCTCGAAGACTAGAGAATTATGAATTCTGTTTTATAAATTGTTGTGTTTTTTTTTTTTTTTTTTTTTTTTTTGACAATCTGTAACATTTGCTTTTTCAATGGTGGATCTAGGAATTTCAAAATGGGGATGGATTGATACCATTTTTTTTTTTTTTTTTTTTTGGACAAGCAAATAAAAAGAAAAAAAACGTCCATGGGCCACAATGATTACATGAGTCCCTTGGCCCTTCTGTTCTTCATTACAATATGTTTTTGTTTAAAAAATTCTTAGTTAATATTGTCGCCCCACTCTGGCCCCAAAGCCTAGATAATTGACGTTTTAAACATTTTCATTAAAAATGTCCATACTAGAATAAAAAACTATTATTATTAATTTTTATGTTTTTTTTAATTAAAAAGAAAATGTTTAAAACTTCTATTATTATTAATTTTTATGTTTTTTTTTTTAATTTAAAAGAAAATGTTTAAAACTTCAAGTACCTAGCTGTGCCCCAAAAGTTCATGACATAACCTAACTTGAATCAACACGTCCTTGGGATCCTTCAGTATCATTATGAATAACATGGCCTTGCTGTTCATGCGCGGATCTGGAGGGGGGGGGGGGTCGGAGGGGGTCAGGACCACTCCCCCCTGGAATTTGCAGAGTTATAAATAGTATATATACTGAAGCAAATAAAAAATGACTTTGGACCCACCCACCCCCTACGACTTGTGGACCCCACAATCACCACTAAAAAAAAGGTGTTTTTTACGTTTAGTAAATGGATTCTAGGTTGTTTTTTGTTTGTTTATTTTTGTTTTTGTTTTGTTTTGTTTTGTTTTTTTTTTTTGCTTGTCAAGAAATTTTTGGGTTAGATTTCTTTTTTAGTTTGACTGGGATGGACTCCTCCCCTCCCCCTGCTGTTCTGCAGAAGTAAACATGCACAAGGTGAACATTGCTCTGATTTAAGACTTACTCTAATCCCAGAATCTATTACTTGAAAAAAATGAATTCACACAACTTTGTTTCCATATAAAAATAAATGCAATTTAGTGTGACTCGTAATTTTTAAAAGAATGTTTTTTAAAATAAAATCCTTATTCATTTTCTTTTAAAACAAAAAGAGTAAATATCATAAATATGAACAACATGCATAAGAGTTTTACGTTTACGTTCATTTTTTTGTAAAAACATAACACGAACAACATGAACAGAACGGACTTCGATCCGGAGTAAACAGTATTCCCGTTTTAACTCCATATTTTACATTTCATCATTCCAATTCCGGTACGTAGCCAGCGCAGAAAAACATTGAGTTGACTGATTGAGTGATTGACAAGCAGAATCCTTATCCCAAAGGACTGATCCATGATGTTTATTTAAGTGAAAAATATCTAAAAACTTTGTACTGTATAATTTTTCAGAGCTGGTAGGATGAAAAGGAAAAGGCTAGCAAGATCTCATTCGAGGAAGAAAACCTCCACCATTGAAAATGGAATGACTCGAGTTCAACGCGTACGCGATGAAGATTACTTTCAAAACCTGTCCCTGGAAGTTATTTGCCTCATTCTTGGATATTTACCCCTTAGATATATACTGAGAATGGACTGCATGAACCACAAACTCAGAAATGCTGTGTCCATGTTCTTACGCATTCAGAAAGAGATTGACATGTCAGAGAGAGATATATACGGCTGGATGTGCGACACCTTGACCGACAGTACACTGACATCTTTCTTGAAGAGGTGTCATGATGTTGAGTACCTTTACGGATTTCATCCAGGATTTATGACCTTGAGACGTCAGCGTGGTGCTGACATGCTTACACTTCCAGGAATCATTGATGCATTGTCAGAATGCAAAAATTTGAAAGGAATTGAAATATCAGATGTTGTGCTTCTTCATGCAATGATGGACTTTTTTCCACAATTAGAAATTCTTGGAACGTTTAAAAATAGGAATGGAACATTTCCTATCAATTGTTCGTCTTCATTAACTTTAGCAGAGAATGCAAAAATTACATCCTTGAATCTTAATGGCATTGTTATTGAAAATCTACCAAAAATGTATAATTTAAGGCATCTTCAGCTTCGCTGGGTACACTTTCATGAGTCGCATCCATTTAGTGAGTTTATGGCACCAAAACTGCAGACTTTTGTTATGGCACATTGCTCCGGCCCTGTTAGTGCCATCAAGTATGTCCCACTCATTGCAAGTCTTGCAAGCTCCAGATACCTTTCACGACTTGAGCTACTACGTGTTCCTTTCCTTGGTAAATACTAGTACCAAGAAGCAAACCTAATACTAGCCCTTTTTCTTTGCAAGACATTTGTTCTTTATAAATACATTGTAATACATGATTGTATTTTATGACTACTGAATTAATAGTACATTTATTAATTTATGCAAGTGAAGTATTAAATTTATTTGAAAGAAACCTTATACACGTACATGCATATGAGACTTAAAAGATTGATCTTGAAAGTAATGTCAGTTATAAACTTTCAATGAAATCATTATATAGTTCATTTTTAAATATGTGCATTACTCCCATGAAACCATTGACATTTATCTACCATTTTTACAATTTTAGGGGGCCTTATTCATCATGTAGTGCAAGATAGCTGGCAGATGAATGCATTTCGCCAGTTGCGCTGCATCAGATTTGGAGCATGCCGTCATGCCCTTGAAATGGATCTTGGGTTCCTTATTATAACTGCAGCTCAAAAGTATGTTTATAAATGACAAGTTTCAGTTTAAAAAAAGGTGAAAATCCAATAAAAATATATATGTTATTAAAAGCAGTTAACATGGTTAAGCTTACTAGTTAATGAAAACCGATCCCATGTAAGCAGAAATTTTATCGAGGATTCAATTTTGGCATTTTTAGCGAGGGTGTTGAGATAGCTAAAATTACATATCACTAACAATTTATCCCACATAAGAAGTTACCATTATCTTTCTGTTCACCATAAAATCACTAAAATTACTTCTCGTTAAAATTAAGTACTGATTTTTAAGGACAAATCGCTAAATTTGCATCTCGCTAAAAATTCCACTTATATGGTATTGTGCAAGACATTTAAAGTTTATTATCTGTATTAATTAAGCAGTTTCTCTTTCTTGTAGGCTTTAAGTATTTAAAATTTCAGCTTATCAGTATCAAAAATATATAAGCATCTTTTATAACATATAATTTAATAAATTACAAGAACACATTCAGGGAAGCTTTTTTTTCAGGATAGAGGAAGTAAGTGTCCAGCCTTCTCTGACCAAAGACAATCTATTTGTTGCCTTGATGATGGCAGATGTCTCTTTTCCTTCATTTAATACACTACATCTAGGATTTGTTGATTCTTTTCCAGCACCAGGTAATAAAGTTACATTGTGTTCTTTCACATTTAATTAGTAAAATTCTAATTTACCTGAACAGAGTCATACTTTTTAGAACATTTACCAAAATCCAGTAAGATAATACAGCAATCTGATTAAAATCAGATCTTTGTTACACTCCGAAATTCTGTTAGTCAATGTACAGAGCGACTATCAGAATTTTGGAGTGTAACAAAAATCTTATTTTAATCAGATTGTATATTACAGTAAACACTGGGTTCACTGGTTTGTCTGTTCATTTGTCAGTGCTTTAATGCAGTACACCGTACTTCTGTACCTTCCATTCTATTGATAATTGTATATTTTAGTTATTTACTACAGAGGTGGAGGATAATTAAAGGAAACCACCTCTAAATTTTTTGGCCAGTTGAACAAATTAAAGATCAAGGGCAACAGATCAGTATTATTGATATGACAATCAAATGAAATAATTTTTAAAATTACTTTCCAACTTATAGACTTTATATTCACAAAGTTAAAAAAAATAGAATATTGTGGATTTTGAGATTTGGACAAATGTCAGAATTATTGATAGAATTATGATGTTGACTGTGGATGACTGTTTTGTTAATTTTTTTCTCAAAGCAATACTTTATCCAGTATATCAGTCTATGCTAAAGTTTTTTGGACCACACAGGACATTCGGTCCTATGTAATCAATGAACACGCAGGACCGAAGCAAATTTTGTCAGACCGAAAAATCTAATGTTAAAAAGTGAAATACGTGAAAATGCAGAACCAAGATAATCTTATTACTGTAGATGGTCCATGCGGTTTTAATCAATTCATTTATGTATTTGGATTTGTGCGATATTTTTTTACTTATAACAAACATTTGAATGACTCTGCATCAAAATAGTAAAGCTCAAAATAGGATGCTGAGACATCGGACATTCTGGTCCGGTGTTAAAAATGATGCATCGGACCAGAGGCATTGCACATTGGTCAGGTCAGACGGTCCGATGTCTTTCGCATAGACTGGTACATACATGTGTACATGTATAATAACTGTATCACTGAAATCAACATGGAAATTGTCTTGTATGAAAAAAAGGAAGGAAACATTCACAATTACAATTTTTATGTGCATTGGTTTATTTTTCCTGAAATTGTTTGTTAGATAAATGGGACAATGAGGATCTGATTGTGGAGGGTTTGGCCAATGTGTCGGAGGCACCAGCAGTCATTACAGACATTGGAATGAGAGCAGTGGCTGTATGCTTTCCTAGACTCAAACATCTGGATATCTACAATTGTCCTCATATACTGAGGCCTACTCAGTGGTTCACACAAGGTAAAGAAACTTCATCAGATCATTAGGACAACAAACTGCCATTGATTTACCCCTTGTCAGAAGAGTGAATGATAATACATGTATATGAAATAAATGTGCATGCTGTCCTTTGCATGCAAGTGTGAATGTAAAATGTATGTTTCAGGAGAAAATTTGGTACAGGTATGGAAATTGAAAAAAGCATTGTAAAATGTTGATAAAATATTTTAAAATTTGAACTTACTGAATGAATTCATTTCACTTCCTAACATTTCCATTTCCATTCAAATTAATATGAGATGGATGTGTCAGTTTAAATAATTTGAGGATGTGAACAGTAATTTTTTTTCCCCAGGTCTAACTTGCTGGGATCAGCTGACTGACTTGTCATTGAGAAGATGTCATGCTTTGAAAATTGAAGATTTTTGTGAATTCATTCCTACCCTTCCATCTCTTCAAACTCTCTATCTAGAACAAATGTTTAGGGAGCCACCAAAAGGATGCTCAAGGTACATTTCAGAACCAAGTTTTTAGCTCTACTGCCCCTGATAAATTTATTTATAACAAGAGGTATCATAAAAATACTTTGCTTTTCACAGCAGCTAGTTCACATATCAGGGATATAAAAAAGTAAAATAATTTTTTACAGAAAACTGATGTAGATGTTCATGTATATCTACAGTAACAAAGTTTTCATTTGATAAATATTTACAGGGTTGGCTTAAGTGCTGGGACAGGTATGGGACTCTCCTCTGCCATGTTAAATCAACATTACCAAAACCCCCCTCCAGCAAATCCAGTAGTCAATAACAACAATGTACAGGATGATGGAGCCAATCAAAATGAGGGAGGTAATGCTGCAGCAAATCAAAACAATGACTTGAATGTTCAAAATGATGGAAGCAATGCTGCAGGCAATCAAGGCAATGATATGAATGATGATCCAGCCAATCAGATCAATGACATGATTGATGATCCAGCCAATCAGAACAATGACATGAATGATGCTCCAGCCAATCAAAACAATGACATGAATGATGCTCCAATCAATCAAAATAATGACAATCAGAATAATGAAAGGGAACATGATGAAGTTGATGAGGTGGCAGTCGATAGAAGGGATGAAGCTGATGAAGATGCATGTGATGAAGCTTCAGAGGAAATAATGCCAGAAAATAAAGAGAAGGAAGACGATTTTCAAGGGGAAAATATGGTGCAGAATTTGGATGGGCATGATGAGAGTGAAACAGTTAATACTGACAACAGTAATACTTCAGCACCAACAACATCAATGGAGATTTCTAAGAATATGGAAGAGAGCTCAGATTGTCCACAAAATGAGAAATGCAATGCAGTGAATGAAAGTGAGCAAATATCTAATGTCAATAATTCAGAGTCTGAAGAGTGTGAAAAAGAAGATATCAAGAATGACAATGCCACAAGTAGTTCTCAGAGTTTACCTGAAAATACATGTAGCATGAACAAGAAAAGTGAAAAGATCCAGAGGGCTCCATTTTCACCTACACCCAGAATGAGACCAACTAGAAGTTGTGTTAAGCACCAAAGACATAACTCGGGCAAATCTGATAGAACTTCAACTGATCGCAAACAGAATGATCAAAATGTACACAGTGCACCTGTAAAACGAAGGAAACTTGAAACAAACCAAAATATTCCAGAAGAATCATCAGAAAGATGCGAAATGAATGAGGATGGTGCTGAATCTAATGCTAAAGTTATGCAGATGGATAGTTCACAATGCCAAAAATGTCTGTGCAACAGAAGTGAAAGTGAGAGAAAGTATTCTAAAAGAAGAAAATTGAGGCACAGAAAAAGTAAAGGAAAGAGGAAACCTGTTTGTAAATGTGAATGTCATAGTGATGAACAAAGAGACAAATTAAGTGATCATGGAACAGAAAATAAAGATCAAGAGAAGAAGGCAATGGAAAACAGTACATGGTGTCCTTTAGAAAAACAGGACAGTGCTGACACCTGTGATGTGAAAAAGGAAGTAAAAGAAGAAAAGGAAGTGGAAAAGGTAGATAAATCTTGTGAGGCCAAACCAGAGGAAATCAGACAAAGTCTGTCCCAGGCAGAGGACTCCACAACAAGAAAAGGTATTTTAATAAAATTATTAGAGGAAATATGTCAGTACCAGTTTAAACCAAACAGTGAGAAGTAGGAAGTACCGGTACCTGTTCTTAATTATGCAAAAATAATCCTGGAAATCAAACATGAAGCATAAAAACCATTTTCAGCATAGTTTTACTGTGGATAGTATTAAAATCCAAGACTGGTCTTTGAGTTGAGAGCTTACTTGTATAATTTTGAGTGTATTTGATGAGAATTTTATATATGTGAGTGCCTCAGAATTTAGAGCTTGTTGTTATATTATTTAGTGTTTAGAGCTTGTTTCAGGGAAGAAAAGAAGAGGAAGACAATCAAAACAAGGGCATTATGAAGGTCCAAAGTCCAACATGAGAGATGAGTGCACAAGCACCGCAGATCCTTTAGTAGAAGAGGATCACGTACAGGTAAAACTACCGGATTGAGTTTTTAGATAACTGACTGGCTGAGCCAAAGGCTTAAGTGAGGTTTACTGATCAAAGAGTGTCTGTTGTCCATAAACTTTTCACATTTTCAACTTCTTCTTCATACCACTGGGCCAAATTCAACCAAACTTGCCAAAAAGCATCCTTAGGCAAAGGCGATTCAAGTTTCTTCAAAAGCTTTTTCAAAGGAAGATAATAAGAAATAGTGGAAGTTTGGTGGGGTTTACAAATCCTTTTCTCAAGAAACACTGGGCCAGAAATGATAAAACTTATGTGGAAGAGTTCTGACATGGTGTAGATTCAAATTTTTTGAAATTATGCTCTAAGTTCTAATTTGAATATGTAGAAATTGTTTTAAAAATCCTTTTCTCAAAAAAGCAGGACAGTGATTAGTTTTATTACCATGTAAGTATTCTCTGGTAACGCAGATTCAAGATTGTTTAAATCAAAGCCTTCGTGGGTTGGTTTGGGCCACAATAGAGGATCAGTATTTTTCAAGGGAATATGGTACAGGAAAAAAAAATCTTGGAATTTTTTTCTCAAAAACAGCAGGGCTATGATTAATAATATTAATATGAATTCAAGTTCAGTTATGTCATGATCTCTTGGGCCAAGAGTGGGGCCACAATAGGGAGACGGGTGAGCAATGTGATTCACAGGCCTTTTGTAATTGTACACTACCTCAGACATGTACATGACTATGTAATAACAGTGTGTGTTTAGTGACAAACAACTTTTTATTCTAGATCCTAAAACTGAAGTCAAATTCTCTGATATCACTGTCTCTAAACAATGTGGGCATAACCTGTCTGGTTCTTGATGAATGTCCACAACTGAGTAAACTCTCAGGTAAGACAACAGTTCATAGCAGCTTGTAGAAGTAAACTCTCAGGTAAGACAACAGTTCATAGCTTGTAGAAATAAACTCTCGGGTAAGACAACAGTTCATAGCAGCCTGTAGAAATAAACTCTCAGGTAAGACAACAGTTCATTGCAGCTTGTAGAAATAAACTCCCAGGTAAGATAAATCCTGATAATGGATCTTCTGATGCATGTAGAAGTCAATCTCGGGTAAGACAACAGTTCATTGCTGCATGTAGAAATAAACTTTCAGGTAAGACAACAGTTCGTTGCAGCTTGTAGAAATAAACTCCCAGGTAAGATAAATCCTGATAATGGATCTTCTGATGCATGTAGAAGTCAATCTCGGGTAAGACAACAGTTCATTGCTGCATGTAGAAATAAACTTTCAGGTAAGACAAATCCTGGTAATGATCAGTCCATTGCTGCATGAAGATTGGTTTGCAAATTGTTGGTCCTTTTCTCTTTCAGAAATGAATTTAACTAAAATTATATTTTACATGTAAATGCTACATGTACAGAAAAAGATGCTTAAAATAAAGGGATGAACTAATTTAAGTACAGGGAATGAAAATCACTTTGCTGTGAGCCTGAACTCTTTATAAGTGCGTTCATTGCAACCATGGGTTACTGTGTCATTTTATTTTCAGGTCATGCATGTAGGGTTTTAAAAGAGGTCAAGCTTAATGCAGTTCCAAAGATTCGAAAAGTGGAATTCACCCATTGTCCAAAACTCTCCGAGGAGAACCTGGCCTATGAGGTGGCTCTTCAGGAGGAAACCTTGGCAGATGGCCAGGCTCGAAGATATAACAAAGCATTATTTCTTAGACCAATGCACATGGTATCAACATTTTTTTGTGAAAAACTTGCTAGTTACATGTTTATCTTAATAGTTATGAACTGTTTATCCTTAAGAATTGCTTGATATTCTGTAGCAATTCATTGATTTACATTTTCAAACTTTTCAATTACTGGTATTCCCATGATTCATGATTATTGCATTTTGTCTGAAAGTTGATTCCTTGGCAAGCAACTAACAGATACTTTATCTGTGCTAATATTTATATACCCATTTCTCAAATTCACTTCATACAAGAAAAGTCCTTGTTAATTGGTCAATAACCTTATTCTTTGAGAATATAGCTAGCTTTTACTACAAGTCAGTCATACTTAGTGCAAAATTTGTTAGATCTGGATCTTGTCATTCTTATTTTCTCTATTTTACTTGAAAGGTAGTACTTCAATTTCTATGCCATCCATTTTTGTATTATGCTCTGAATGACAATACCAAAGAAAGGTTATTCAAATTTGTTGTTGTTGTTTTGGGGTGATTTTCAGTAACCTAAACTAAACCTAGCAAAAATTGGACATCCATAGACATTACCATTAACTATAATGATGTATACAGCAGGAACTTATAAACAATAAATTACCATCATGGTTCTTAACTCTGTGTATTAATCTAACTTTAATGTTTCTCCGATATCATGCTAATGTAAAGAAATGAAATGATTGTAGATTGATAAGGGAAACCTTGAGCACCTGCTGTTTTCCAGTCCTGATATACCATCTGATATTTGTATCATCTATGATTACAATGACCAGGCTTGTAATAGTTCCTACAATCACATGAGAGTCTTCACCTGGGGAGAAATTCTTACACCATTAGCCAGGTAAGGAATCAACCAGGTAAGGGATTACATGTAATTGAAATTTAAATCATATGAATAGGCAGTGTATATTTTTAAATCATGAGTACAAAAGGACTAGGAAACTAAATAAGAGGCCATTTTTTAGTTTTTAAAACTGGTATTTTGATTCTTTGTAGTGAGCTAATTGACGTCTACAGTTTTCTGGAATGGAGCAGAAAAGATTGGAAACCTAGCTATCCTTGGGGCAGGGACATTTTCAGGATGTATGGTCAGTGAAAATTATTGCATATACCTTTCACTACATTCATTCCGTAAGAGGTGGATAGAATATTTCTGATTTTTTGCTTCCTTAATAACACTTTTCTTGATAAATTTTTATTTTATTTTTGACTGGAAAACTACATGTTTTGGGTTGGTTTGTATTCTAGAGAGAAATGGTAATCTAACTTGTCATGAGATTGTGACAGACATGACCTTAATGAGGATACTGAAAGAGAAACCAAGGCTCCCAGAGAATCAAATACACCGCTTTGACCATGCCCGTAAGTAATCAAGCATCAGGCATCAATAATGGCTTAAGCAGAACCACTTTCCTCAATAACAACTGCTGAGTATAAAATACTTATACATTTGAAAAGAAAATTTCTGTGGTTTTTTTTTTCCTTTTTCCACAGAAATAAAGAACAATACAGTTCAACACACTTTAATACTACAAAGTTAAAAATAAACAGTTTTGACAACAATGAAAATCAATTTGCTGTATAAACGTGAGGCAGGTTTGCTGTAATCGTGTTATATGCATTATGTATACAAATAAATAATTTTATAGGAGGCATATACTGTCCCAACACCAAGGGTCACTACAGTGCTTATTCAGCCTTGGACTCCATCATGGATGAAATGGCTGATCAGTGGTGTGCTGGGATGAAGGTCAGACGACACAGTTGTATTATTTATATCAACCTGAGTGACATTAATGGTGTTCCTACTTATGATCCAGAATTTTCTTAAAAAGAAAATAGTTGCAGAATTTTATGGGGTAGATTTAGTGGCTGTTGTAAACTGATGTGTGATAGATATTGAGAAAACTATGTTTATTGCTTCTTGTGTATAGCATATTGTTAATATTACACAGGTTCGTAAGATTATATATGATTGAATTTATCACAGTTTTTAGTTCACATTTCAATTTCAATTGAATTGAAGATCTAAACTCCAAATTTGAATTACAACCAAAAAAAATAGCTATAGTTAAGTATCTGTTACGTAAAAGTTTTGTATCTGTACACAGCTTTGTCTAATAAAATTTGGAAGAGAGGACTAACTCTCATTATTCAATAATAATAATACTTGTACATATTTGATTTATTACTCTCTCTTTCTTTCTCTCCAGCAGTCGTGCAGGTTACTGCAGGTTAATATATCAAACAGCTGTCAACCATGGGTAAAAACAAAAGTACCAGAAGTAATTCAAAAGCAAAACAAAACAACAACAACAAAAAAAAACACGACTTAAACCTTTTTGGTGGTGGTTGTGAAGGGTCAAACTCTCTTTTTTCCATCGAAAACAAAAGGGCCTGGCCCTTTTCTATACTAAATTAACAGTAAATAGAATATTCTGTACAAAAAATTGGACCAAACTTTCCACACACCCCCTCTCTCTTTGACCAAATACGAGGAGGGGGGGTGGGGGGGGGGGGCGGGGGCAACCGGCCTTCATATGAAGATTTCCATACTAAATTTCATGTTAACAGCAAAAGTCTTTTTCATAAAATAGTGGGAGCCTGGAATCGGTAACCCTGGAATCTCATTTGAATCCTGGAAATTAATAGGAATCATATTAAAATTGTACATGTTGCTGTCAAGAGAGAATCATGAAAAAGAGATTTTTTTTAATCTGTGCTCTTGGGTATATTTGAAATGTGTATTTTATTAAGTTTTATTATATTTCCTTGCTATAAAAAAAAGTCAACTTTTCATGCATTTAACGTTTAATGAACTGTCCGGAAGCCGTGACTTTTACTTCTAGATGAACGTTTTTTTTTCTTTAAAATTTTTTTCAAAGTAAAAAAAATTTTTTGTATACATTTTGCATTTTAATGTCATGACTACCCCACTGGAATTTCAAACTTGTTGCCACTTTTGATTTAATCTTCAAACTTTTGAATTGATTTAACGTCCTTAGATCCTATAAGAAGAGGCATCTGAAAATAAATGACAGAATGCGTCATTTTAAAGGGAAGCTCTGTAGTAAAAAGAACACTTAAACCTGTCTACCAAGTCTTATTAAAATCAGGCCAAAACTGAAGATGGAGTATAGCGTTTTCAAAAATTCTTTACAGACAAACGGTCGGACGGACGACGCACACCTTACAAACCCATAAGCTCTTTTGGTCTTTACCCAATAGAGTTTTAAAAAAATATCCAACCTCGACAACTCATAAAATGCCTACTTTACTAAGATACACAATTCTACATATCAGTTTTTGATTTCAACGAACGGTGTTGTCATGGTTACTTAAAGTAACATTTTCTTTGGATTTTTTTTTCAAAATACTACTCCTATAGTTTCGATCCGATTTCAATAAGACCCGGTATGCAAGAAGACAACAACAAAATACATAATTCTCTGTATCCGTATCATGCTTGATTTCTATGGACAGTGTTGCCATGGTTACTATAAACAACAATTTCTGGTAAAAGCTTTCAGAACACCACTTCTACTCATTTTTGTCTGAATACAATGAGATTTGTACACAAATAGACTATACTAAGATTCATAATTCCTTACATCTGTTTTGATAGCGACGAACGGTGTAACATACTTACTAAAAAATAGAAATTTCTGTAAATTTCTTCCAAAATATTCCTACTCCTCCAGTTCTGGTACGATTTCAATAAGACTCTGTAGTAAGTAGACTACGCTAGGTAAAGAATTCTAAATATCGGTTTTTAATTTAGATGAATGGTTATGCCATAGATGAAGAATGTTTTTTAGGACTTTGAGAAAATTGTGTCGTCAAAAACTTTATATACCAGTAGTTCATTTTCAGCAAAGGATGCCTGTCAATTTTCTTCAGGAAAAATGTTCCTGTCAATTTTCTTCAGGAAAAATGCTTCAGGAAAAATGTTCGAAGAGTATTGCTGAACAGAAATCACATGTGGAACATACATGCAAATAACGTTTTCAAGTATTTCCTCTCTGTTTAATTTATTATTAAGAATAACTTGATCTATTTCAAATTGTTTCATTCACTGTAGAATGTAGATTCCCGTTTATTCCATTATATTTCCATTTCTATTTGTTTTCTCTGTGATATCTCTTTGAAAGTTAGGAAAGTTGATTTCTTGATCATTCTAACGGAATGCAAATTTTGCCAAGCGAAAGGTCAGTAGCTAAGAAGGCATAATATGCATGTAATTCTCGTGCGCCTGTCTTTGTGTCTAACTCTAAGGAGGCCTAATATGCATGTAATTTTTCGTGCGGCTGTCTTTGTGTCCGACTCTAAGGAGGCCTAATATGCATGTAATTCTCGTGCGGCTGTCTTTGTGTTTGACGTCAGTGGGCGGGGACTATTGAAATTGACATGTGAGGCCTCGTGTAATTTAAATCTATTAGTCTACATTTTTAAAATCTAAATTTACAATTTTATTTCAAAATGAAATGGAAATATAAGGAATCACTGTCTAGTTAGTAGAGTATGCCAGGGACATCAACGATAGTTGGAAACGTGGGATAATTTATGCATAACGGGCTTCGCCCGTTATGCAAATTATCCCACGTTTCCAACTATCGTTGATGCCCTGGCATACTCTACTAACTAGACAGTGATTCCTTAATTAAATCAAATGTCAGATAACTCTAATTGCATAAAATCACTTTGGAAGTAGAGCTTTTCAGCGAGCAGTGTTTAGAGCTTCCTTTATTTAGGACTTGGTTGATTGATTGATTGTATGTTGTTTAACATCCCAATTGAGAATTTTTCACTCATCTAGAGACGTCACCGTACGCCAGTGAAGGGCTTCAAATTTAGACCTTTACTCGGCACTTTGAGCCATTGAGCAGTGAGGGTTCCTTGTCGTGCCAACTCCTTCCGTGACCTCGGTTTTTAAGTTTATCCGAAAGACCCGTGACATTCAATTCTAGTGCCGGGTGCTTAGCAAAGGAACATTCCTACCTATGCTTACTTAGCTTTGACGCGGTGCGGCGAACGAGGATCGAACCCGGGCCCCCCGATCGCGAAGTAAATACATTTGACTACGATACATGTACATGATTCTGTATGTTTAGTTTTGACTTCGATGAACAGTATTGCAAATGTCACTAAAAATAGGATAATATAGATTTTTTTTCAAAATGCCACTCCTCCCACTGTTTTTGGTATGAATTAAATAAACTTGGTATACAAGTAAAATAAACTCTGTCTCTGTGTCACTTTTCCACAGTAAATTCTCTTTTTAAAAGTGAGACTGAGATCAAAGAGTTAGCTGCCTTAGTCTTTTATTTTATGTACACACCAGCAGAGCTACAATCTCGTCAGAGACTTCTCGTATTGTATCGTCGTGATTCGTCGTATTTAGAAAGCCCCAATATATTAGTGCACTCATTATCGTACCAATTACGTCATCATCAGACTTAAAAAGACTCCCCGAACGGCATCACTTGGGACAAGATCAGGGGGAGTAACGGATGTGAGGAAGAATTTGGAAGATACTGTTATACCGTATCTCTGCAATCTTGCTTTTTCATAACTTTCTGTCCATTTCTTTTGGCGATTCCAGCTACGGGTAACTAGATTATAAAGGCCAGGGATGGGCACGATTACTGAAAAATGTAATCGATTAATAATCGATTACTTAGAGGAATTTTGTTTAATCGATTATTAATCGATTACACTCATTTTTGTCCTGTAATCGATTGTAATCGATTACTTTGGAAGATGTAATCTATTAATAATCGATTACTTCCAAGTTTTTATCCCTTCAAATATCAAAGCAATATTTAAATGGTAAATGTTGATGTTATCCACTGAAGTTTGAATTTGTTCCTGCAGTTTCAGTGCAGATTCTTTTAAGGTTTTAATTCTGGCTAACATTCTCACTAAATGCCCAAATGAGGGATTCTCTACCATGGAAAGTGGAGACACGGTTCCACAATAAAATATGCCAAGGAATTAATTATTCCTTTCAACCTTGGATCTGAACCTCCATATTTATTGACTTGTTGAAAAAATTGTTTAATATTTTATTGTGAATTACCGGGCACTTCATTAGAAGTATTTTGGCTGCCCGTATGTTGACAGTACATGTTAAACATTCCTGTACGTGCCTTTTTCAAAAAAATAAGTAAATTAGAACGAGCTGTTAGTAATAAACATGTAAATTAAATGTGTCTTTCAGTAATTTAACTAATACATGTAGCACAATTTCATTCTGTATTGAAATAAGTGTTTTGAGATCTATTAATTCTTTTAATAATATTGTTTGTCTTCAACGGAATGAAAGTTAAACACTAGGTAGTTCACAGTTTACACCTCATTATCTGCAATCAGGGATATGTCTCAGTCAATTAATTAGCCAATTAAGATAAGCAAACACAGTGATGCTTACTCCCTCTCTTACAGACACTTATAACCTAGCTCTCACTGATATTAAAGCAACCTTACAATTTTGAATGAAAACATGAGAATGATTTTGCAAATTTTAAAGTTACTAAAACACAAGTTTGAAGTTGTTTAAACATTTTCAGATATGAATAAGTATTTCCATCTTCTTTTTTTGAGTACAGTGTAGTTTATTTACCAAATTATTTATATTTAATACAGCACTTAATTCTGTTTTTGCTATTTATAATTTTCTATTACAAGACAAAGTTTTTCAACATCTGAAATATGAAAAAGGACATGCAGCAAGAGGACAGTTGGTCAAATGTAAAATGCACACGAAAAATCTGTATATTTTATTAATAAATGGTTGAAATACATTTCTGAATTATTTAATACTAGACCAGAAGGTCTATAATGCAGATTTTATTGAGAACATTATTAAACTTATGATGAAAAAGTTAGGAAATCCAAACATTACACTATATATTTGATATTTATGTGTGACAGACTGGAAATAATTCTCCAAAATAACATCCATTTATGTATAAAATAATCGAAAGTAATCGAAAAAGTAATTATAATTACATTGAAAATTTTAGCTGTAATCGATTAAATTACGATTACAAGTAATCGAAAATCTCTTCGATTACAGATTACTGTCGATTACTTGAAAAACAGTAATCATTACAATCGATTACGATTACTCGATTACGATTACCCCATCCCTGATAAAGGCACTATATTCACCAGCGATAGTTTGTCTCGGGGGCAAAAAATCTACCAGAATACCCTTACAATCTTAAAAACAGTGACTATGGTTGAATTTTAACGAGCGTAGTGACCCTTCCTACGTTTTTTACAACGCACTTTGAAAAATTACGCACTTTGAAAAAATGTTTCAAAGTGCGTTAAATTTGGGACGAAGTTAACGCACTTTGACAAAAAATATTTCTTTTCAAAGTGTCTTAATCAGGGACGTTTTTTGAAAGTAAGAGGGGGGAGGGCAGCCAGAGAAAAAAATTTCAACTTACCTGAAAAAAACTTGACAAGCCAAAAAAAAAAAAAAAAAAAAAAAAAAAAACTCGAAAATCCTACTTCGTGGGGGGTGGGGGTAGGTTCCATCTTCTTTCAGTACCAAATTTTATTCAAACACTACTACAATTAAACCCCTTATTTGACTATTCTACAACAAAAAGTGGAGGGGCCAACCGACCTTTCAATTAACATTTCAAATAGTAAAAAAAGGTCTTTGCAAAAAAGCTGGGGGCCACCCCCCCCCCCCCCCCCCCCGCTGCTAAGTGCCTGTTAATATCCACCATATTAACGCACTTTGAAAAATACATCTAATGTGCACGGCTTCGTCAATATTCTTGCAAATTTTAGGTAAAAAATTGATATCAAAGTAAAGGAGCAAGTGGAAGACTTTATTTTAATCAGACTGATATTTTACGTTATCTCTTTGGCAACTTTTTTTAAAATAAAAAAAATATTTTATCAAGTGTATAGTAATCGGTGATGAGACATAGATTCTTGTCTACGAAAGCAACGTAAACAATGAACCTATGTAGCAACGCACTTTGAAAAAAATATGAACTTTAAAAAAATTGTCAAAGTGCGTTAAAATTGGAAAAAATCAACGCATTTTGAAAAAATATTTTTTTTATTTTAAAAAAAGTTGCCAAAGAGATTAACTGGCATATTTTTTTGTCGTCTGTTAATAGTTTCTGTATCCTACTTACTACTGATTTTTACACTACTCACGAATATCATTTATACTTTTAACGTCATTACTTTTTGCAATTTTCCAAATATATTAACACATTGATCTTCAAACTAGGATCAATCAAGGGTTCAAAAGTAACCCCCCCCCCCCCATATTTTCTGCGTTCAGACTCCAGGCCCGTAGAACGCGGGGGAGGGGGGGGGGGGGCGCTCCCCCTCCTTTTTCCGAGTATAGTATTTTGCTATAGTAAATCTACCTTTAGATGCCTGCTACCCCCCTTTTTTGAATGTTGTAAGGTCGAGCACTGGCAAATTCTAGGATTTAGACAGTAAATTAGTTTTTTTTGTTTTATGTGTGTTTTTTTGGGAAGTTGCTACGGGCCTGGGATCGATCATATTTCCCGAAGTAACGGACATAAATGATATACCAAAGAATCTTCACAATATAGTGAATATTATTGTGATCAGCTTCAGCCGATCACAGTTGATTCAATGTGAGGTATCCGGCAAATGTAACCACTTGCTCACACGGCACAACTTTGTTTTGTATGCAATGGCAGAATAATGTAAATCTTTCTTAATACTTTTAAAAATACTAAAGTAGCATTTTTATACTTTCATTTACTTTTTGAGATGCAAACATTTACACAATTACATGATGAATAAACTTATTTTTTCTTAATCTGCACAAGAATTTCATTGATTTACCAAATAGAAGTACATGTGTACATCCTTTCCCATTAAAATTTATTCGGTTATTGGTGTTTCGAGTAAGTCTAACTCGTATAAATTAGTTTATCTAAACAATAAAATGCTTTCTTTGGTTGTTAGTACAGGAATTAATGTTGCAGCTGTTCGTAGTGCAGAAGAAAATGTTGATTTTTCTGCAATAGTTGCAACGTGAATTCCAATACTAACATACAAAGAAAGACATTTTACTGTTAATATTTACATCTGTACAAAAAATCATTTAAAGTAGGATTAAGTAGATTAACTATTGGGTTATGGATATGTACGTCATTGTACGTTTCATTGATGGAAGAGCCACTGCTCACGAAATCTGTACGGGAAATATGCTTAGCGGTGTTTACTGACTGATAGGACAATGGTTAAGAAATAAAGAAGATAATATTCTGTGAATGTAAAATATTAGGTAATTAACTGTTCTGTTCATTCTGTACCGCTTCGCAGGCCACAGGTTTTTTTTAAACGAATACTTATTCCACAGCTAGGGAGACTTCTTGCGACGTACCTTGTAAATACTACTGGATCCCTCTTTTCAGACTTTGACTTTCCGTGGGTATTAATTTGGGTCTGTCATTCTGTCTGTTTGGAAAACTAGTTTCCATTTCGTTTCGCTTCGATGATTTTAACGTAATTCTGACCCTAGGACTTGAAAATTTAGATATTTACAAGTTTTCCAGACTTGTTATTTAGAGTTAGCCGCTTGCAAATATTGTGCTCATTTTAGTGTACGAATCTAGCTTGACAAGTTATATATCAAATTTGCACTTCGTTCCGCTTCAATGACTTTTGACGGAATTATGGCTTTTTGACTCATCATCTGCCATAGATATTTTTCAGGGGATATAGACTAAATACATTCCGGTAGGATTCTCACATTGGTTACCTAGTATTCTCAGAATGCTTGTTCTATAGACACGTTTTTATAATTTTGCCCTATCATATTTAAAAACATAAGTAGTTGTTGTTTGACAAAATGCATTAATCAATGAGTATTAGCTTTTTTTAAGAACCCACAAAATTTGGTAATCGAAGTGGCAATGACTTTAATTAAGTATTATTATTTCAAATGTATTTGTACTTGAATTGTTTCATTTTTCCAATCAACGATTTCATTCTGCTGAACAGCTACAGACATTTATGGAATCTAACCACAATACATTATATCTAACCAAATCCTTAAACTATGCACGTCATATTGCTCAACACAAACATTTTTCAAAGTAATTTGAGTTAACACATCAATGCTTCAAAGAACACACAACTGGAATCCTTAAGTTTGTATTTTCTCTGTTAGTTCTTGTATCACTTTCCAAGCGAATTCTACATCCCTTGATTCTGTCCGTGAGGCACACACAGCGAATCTTAAGAAAAACGTGCCGTTGACTTTTGATGGCACCAAATGTATACGTTTGTCAGAGTTGATGACCTTTAATAACCTCTCGTTAACTTCGTTTGAATCCTAAAATTTACATAATCCTTATTACTTTTAATCCATGACACAAAATTTCGAGAGTTTAACGACAGCACACCAGCAAAAGTAGAAAAAAATTAAAATACATTATTATTATTACCTATTTTATGGCCCGTACTTATTGCTTAAGGTCAGACGACTCGTTCCTCAATACATGTAATATATAATTTTTCCCAAGAATTTGTTGTTGAGGTATTGTTACTTTAACAAGTTTTCTCACAAAAAATTGAGGCACCTTACCATGCATTTGTGCAAGATACCAAAGGGCGGTGTTTCCCATATAATCCTACTTGAAATCACTTGAATTGTCAACATCATAATTTCTGTTGTATTTATTTTCCAAGACATTTTGAAAACAGTTTAGAAATCATAGGATATTGTTAATTATGAATATTTTTAATACATAAGGAAGAGAAACAAAACAGATACTTGAAGAACGTGTCGTCAGACAAACAAATACTCTTTATCACCCAAAACAACTTTGTATACCTCCTAAAGATGGACTTGAATCTATGTTTTCTGATACTTACTTTCAACCTAAAGCAAACTAACCCCAGTACTACGTCACCAAATATTTCAAATCTCTGGTCAGCCTTTACCAAGTCTTCGAACTGATGGGCGAGTTTTACATCCTAGAAAAAACAAAATTTATCTTGCTTTTATTCTTAAAATTAAATGTCAGAAGCTAAAAAAAGACTTTTAGTCGGGGGCTGGGATATTCGGTACTTTTATAAATGTATATCCTTCATATCCGAAACGAAAACAACTATAAGTATTTATAGTTCATAATAAGTTCCTACTGATTTTGTGCCTACCTTTCTTATGTACTCCTGAAGACCTTTCACTCCGTATAACCGCAAAACAAACCATAATTTAAGAGACCTAAATCTCCTGCCCAACGGAATGTGCCAATGCTGCAAAGCCAAGTGAACACATAATCTAAACTTTATACGTTTTAAAATACTACATTGAGTTTAAAAATTTATATATTAAAAAAATTGAATATGATTATCATCATTTTACCCTAAAATCAGGTATAGAACCTTGATTGTCATGTTTCAGGTACAGAGGGTCTACATTAAAGGCATCACTCAATAGCCGACTATCCTGGACCCTGTCAGAATTTAAAGAAAAGGGATGGTTAGTTAGATGGTTTGATACATTTCAAACTATACATGTATAGCAAAGATGGTATGCTTATGTTTTGTCATATAGCACAACATACTGAGACATAGAATTAAATACATGTTCGGATGTCTCAGAAAGATTGGGAAAAAAACTTTAAGTCAATTGTATTTCCAAAAAAACCTACGTCCTACTCACCACATAGTGGAGCAGTCAAAGTTTACATTTAACCATTTATGAGGATTAAAGTTGAAGGACATTGCATGCTGAAAAAAATACATATGATTTCAAAACCTTCATAGTCTGTGTGAGAAACTGTCTTTTTAAAAACCAGTTTGGTGACTGTTTCGATTTTTTAATGCTTACTTCCACTCCATTAAGCAAAGGTCTAAATTCAGGGCAAATAAAGGCACTGCCAGCGTAAGCTGCATCAATATGCATCCACAGACCTTCTTTCTTGCCTGAACATCAAGGTCACAATATGAAACAAAAAATCATCAATTGTTTGTATGTAATTTGATATATTTTAGTTCAAAATCTTCATAACTAATCAATAGGATTCACAATTTAAAGTTCCATTGCGTTGCGTTTTATTACGAAACAAAATAGCAAGTAATACTCACAAACTAGCCCCAATTCCAAGACGTCATCAAATGAACAAACGGAAGTTGTACCAAGAGTTGCGCAGAGCTTTGAACAATACAGAGTATTTAAATATATGTTTTGTACTTAATCCTTTAACTTTATTGAATACATATTTCATGACATACAATACGTACAAAAAATGGAATAAGTCCATCCGCTCTATCTTTTTCTATTGCTCTCTGCAGCGTATCGCCTCTAAGTGAGTATTTTTCATCAGTATCCAATAACCGTATTTTCACTGCTCCTATTAATGCTGCTCTTTCTACAGAAGAATGGGCCTGTGTGTAACAATGTAAGAGGATTATTACCTGATTCTTATTTCCTCATAAATTCAATTAATCATATACCTAAAAAAATATCAATCTTCCCGTTTCCGAGGACGGTGAAATCACTTATTTTCATGGGGCTTAAATTTTCGTTGTTTTCGTGGTATGAAGAAATGCACGAATTCACATCCCCTCGAAATGTTAAAATGTCGGAGTACAGTATTATATAGAGGTTCTACAGCTTCTGCTGTAACCACGAAATCAAATCCTCTACCATTGTTTTTTCCCTTAAACCACGAAAATTTCACCCCTCGAAAATCAGTGATTTTTTTCACTAAATCCTGCGCATTCGTATGTAATTTTTCCTGGATCCTTGAGTTAGCCATTTGAAATAATTGTTTTCATGATCGACTAAGAAAACTTGCCTGTGCAGAACAGTAGGCCACCATTTTATTAATAATTCCTTCATTTGGTGAGTGACTAAACTTGTCTCCAAGAATTTGATGTAAATGTTGTGTTCTAGCTGACAAAAGGGCTACCAGTGTGGCTTCACTTGCCGTTCCCTTGAGTTTTGAAGAAAAAAAGACTCATTTATATATACATATTCTACCTTTGTTTATTCCGTTATAAACAGTGATTTAGTTATTTAGTTTATCCTTACTGATAAGTAAACTGAAGACAATTTTTACCACTTTATTTTTCATCATGTACATTGACCCTAACTCTGCTGCGCATGTTCTTTTGACATACCTGTATAACCCCGCCTCCCTGACCTTTACTGGAATGAAGAAAGCAATCGGGAAGGTCGAGCATTTTAGCTAGCCAATCCAAAACCACCATCTCCAATTCTGTGCATGCGGGACTGGAAGCCTTTAACAAATAGTAAGAATGAAATAAAATGGTACCAGTAAAACACGTATCTGTGAAAATTGTTTTTAATGTTTTTAATATACATGTATTGCAAGCGCTTATTTTATGCTCTTAATTGTCTTTAGCAAAGATGAAAATGATATACATGTAAATCATAGTACATGTATTTCACGACTTTAAACGATTATATAATTTATTGACAATTGCTCCTTTAATCAAATTTTGCCGCAGATTTTGTTCCGAACTTATCCTTACTCTTGAAAGGCTAGTGTAGAACCAATTGGTTTCCTGATCTGTAAACCAATACATGTTTTCTGAAATACTGAGCCAATTTACATCTATCCAGTAAATTACAAGTTACTTATTTACCCATGTAAATCCAATGCAGCCGATAGCATCCGAGAGAATATCCGCCACAATTGCTGGATAGGAATTGGCAGTGGGGAAGTATGCGTGAAACTGTGGAGAATGCCAGTGGGTCACCTGTATGATCCAAAGAAAATTTAAGAACAAATACATTAAAAACTTCAAGTACATTTGCACGACTGTTAAACGTTATGTAACAATGCTGCAGATGTAGATAACGTTACAATGCTGTAGATCTTTAGATAACTAACCCCTGGCATGATGACCCTTTCTATGTCCTTCATAACGTCCTGCCATTTTTCTGCTTCGTCTGGTGCTTTGTCTGGAATGAGTTCTTTAAGATATCCTGGAGACACATCTGGAAATGGCTGTCGATCTCTGATGTTTTCCAGGTAGTCTGCTACATAATCCACCATCTGCTTACCAAACCGTCTGAACTCCTCTGCATTCATCGTTGAAATACTAGTTTGAACATTTGAACGATCCAATTATAAGTGACGTTTTGGTACATTTGCATCCTAACAGTAAGATAATCTTTATATTAAAGTTCAACAATATTTTCAATAAGATGTGTCATTTTACAAAATAGTCATGAAAACAAAATATTTATTGCACAGACGTTTCAGTTCAAACACGAATTCTCTAGTAATGACTTACGTCCAGTTTCTGTTCTCAGCACAAAGTCCAAAGCCCCTCTGATGTATTTGACTTCTTCGAAGTAATCAATGGAGGACAATTTTACATCCACTACAAATTACATTAAAAACCTTTTCCATTTATTTAGCATTAAACAATCTTTGATTGCAAGCATCAAGAGAGAAATCCGATAGTAGGACGTCAATAGTAACTGTATAGAGGTTCGTCACTGTGCTATTAGTGCCAATATCAACACAACCATTATATTTAGTACGATCTGTGAAAAAATCACTATGCAAGCTGCTAATGAAAGTGTGAATAATACTTCAACTAAAATACGCTAACTTATGCCTTCTTGAATGGAATGCGACTGCAACAATTTTGTAAGCGGTTTGCCCGTAAATAGTCATTAACACGATTTTACTGTATATTGATTGTCGGGAAAATGACCAAAAAATCTTTCCAAGCTGTCGTTACAGGAGTGGTTGGGATTCCCTCTTTTTCATGATAATTCCTCTCAACAGATGTAGAAATATTTATTCTATTCTTTTTCAGATTCGGAGGTTGTTATCGTAGAATGCGAACATTCACTGGTTTGATCAATTAAACAAACTACACGACGTCAAATCAATACGTACGAGTTCCTAAATGCCATTTCTATGAATAACAATTAGTTTCTTGTGTGACCCTTCTTTGCAATGGTCAATACATTTTTAAGCTGAGTGGGGTATACACACACAGATAATATAAAATAACAGCATAATTAAAAAAAAAAATTATTTCCACAATAAGAATAAATTAGCAATTCACTCCACAAACATATTCTTTTACTAATGTCACCCCTCTGTCTATATAACATTTGAGCAAGTGCTCCTTTATAAGTTTATATCGAGTGCTACAAATACAACTTGTATAAAATTGTGCCTTTTTAAAATCAATTATCGGAGTTCTTATATAGAATTGAAAATGATTATTATTTACCAATCACTTTTCGTAAGCTATAAAAATATATGTGAAGGATTGATTTGGGAGATTTTTGCCATTTCTGAATAAGAAGAGGCTCATATCCCTTTACGGTCACCTCAGTAAATGCAGCATATGTCTTCCATGCAATATATACCTTCACTACATAGTAAATACGAGACTTGAAACAACAAAATATTCGAGTAATCATACCGTTCATAAGAAAATTTTTGAAGTTGAAATTAGTGTTATCAAATCGGGATGATTTTTTTAAAAGAACTTACAACCTTGATCACGACATATATATATGTTTATATTATTATTGTATTTTATCACTTATAACGTTCTTTCAATCGTTATGATATCAAACTTTGCATATATAAATGCAAACAGACAATGTATTGTATTATTTGTTCTTTAAAAAGGGTATAACCATTATAGTTCATACTCTACGAGTAATGAAATGAAATTAGCTTATTCCATTCTTCAATCATCACCTGGGAAGCATTATAGTTGTTCAAAAAACAACAATCCATGCTATCGATATCCGATCGGTATCTTGTTTGATCTTGCATAACTGACTGTACTTAATTGTAATGGTATTGCTTTGACAATTGAGTAACTGAGGTAATTTTAACTCAGATTTTCAAAACTCGAATACCGCCTGGCAATCAAAGCCGTCAGTTAAATAAACTGCGAAAACTAGTAAAATCAAGTTGAATATCTGTAAAACCGCATTCTCATAACTGCTGGGGTCCTGAGTCCACCCTTACCCATGGAAGCTCCATACTACTTTTCGTTGATTTTTTATTTTATTTTATTTTTTATTTTATTTTTTTTTGTCTGCTAGTTTCAGAAAAGTGGAAATATTTTAAAATGTTCAAAAGTTAACGGACGGTAAGCGTTATCAATAGGTTTTTGTGATCGATCACTCTTTGTTATATTCACCTTTTTCATCTCAAATGGCGGAGTCGTCTGCGTGGCGCAGTGGATAGAGCGTCTTCTCTAGAGTCGCGGAGTATGGAGTGGATCCTAACATCGCTGGTTCAAATCCACTGTTTGACATGGAGACCGGTCCTTCGGGTGAGACCGTATAAACCGAGGTTCCTTGTCGTTGAAGGTGTCGGCTCGAAGGCCGTAAGTGCCGAGTACATGTCTAAATTTGCAGCCCTACACCGGCAAGTGGTGGCGTCTCAATATGGGTGAAAATTTTTCGAAGGGACGTTAAAACAAAACAAAAGACGGAAAAATAGAAGTGATTTCAATTTTTTAAACAAGTTTTAAAAAAAATTCTTGGCTGAAAGACAGACAAGAAAAGGAAACCAATGTATATAATCTTAACATTTTGGTGGGGATTTATATTATTATGAGTGAGATCATGCAGACAGAAAACGACATTTTAATATGTTTATCTACATCTGTATGCATTTAAACTAAAAGCAAGTCTGTTTTCAATCAGAATTCATGTGTTTCTTTCTTGGTATCTTCTTTTCCGTTTTTGCTGCGAAGTTTAAGTTGACAGACGCTTATCAGCAGGTGGTGGTCGCTATCAGCATCGGTACCTTCTTCACCCTCACATCCAGTAAAGATTGTCTCCACTTTCCCTTTATCTTGATCTAATCATCTTTCATGTTTGGGGAAAGCCTTATGAATGAAGTGGTCATCCAGTATTACATTGTTGATGGTGGTATAAAAATCAAGCTGCAAGTATTTCTCCGTTCTCATTCATGGTTCATAATCATGTTTATCCATTGCTCTGTTGTAAAGTTCATTATTTGCTCCAACTTAAGCATCATGTCATATATATTAGAAATTTATATATAATCGCATGCTGTTCTCGACCAGAATTCGGCAGTGTCTCACCTGTTTTGTCCTATAACTCTTCCTGAATCAGTCCATGTGTTCTCACTGATTTGTAGGATATATACCGGGGTATGTTGTATCTCCCCATACCTACTTTTATTTTTTGTAACAGTATGCAGTAGCATACATAGTGCGGACGTTACAAAATCCTATTCTGATCTTGGTCATGGCCGTGTTGCAGGCCTCCTGGTTCATGTTGGTTGTTTCCAGAATGCTTTCACTACTTATAATATTGGCTCCAGTGATGGTTCTCGAGAAGTTCGTTACTGTTTCCGTATAAAACAATAGATTGTTAACAAGCTCATCCCCTTGGATCAAGAGTTTTTTCTGTCAGGGTGTCCTCTTAGTCATAGGTTTCAAATAATTTAAGGCGCCGGATACTCACATTTTACCAATGCCACTTTGCTACTAAAGCATTTCCAGCGTCAACTTGAGGATATACTGCATGTGACTTGCTGATAAATGGTTCCTATTTTGAAACGGTGGGTAAAAACTGAATGTTTGAGGTGGTGAAACCTAGAGGCATAAGCATCACCCCTTAAGACCCAAACCAGTATTTAACTACGATGCTATGATAAATCTTGCTCGGGAGCCATTAAACTTAGAGAACTCATAGGCACTCCCCAGCTTAATTGTTAAAAATATATATCTATTATACTATAAACATAACCTTGTTATGTTTATAGTATAGTAGATATATATTTTTAACAATTAAGCTGGGGAGTGCCTATGAGAGAACTCACTTTAGATCTTTTTACGAAAAGAATTAACACAGTGTAGTGGAAAAGTGAGACTAAGATCAAAAGTGTGCTCGTCTAAGTTTTTTTATTGCCCCGGAGCCTAACAACCTGAGGATGCTCGGTTGAATATCAATATGACTAATCGAAGCCCTGATGTTTTTCTCTATATATTCCAATGTAAAATTTTGATCTCTTTTTGTGGCCCCATCCTACTCCCCCCTCGGGAGGACATCATTCGAAAAACTTGAATCCGCATTACCTGCATGAATTGGGTAGTACTTTAAACTTTTCAGCAAGTTAAAACAACGCAAGCGGAACAAAGACAAGAACTCAATATGCAAAAGTAACTTTGATAGTTATGGGACGAAGCAGAGAATAAGTATACAGAATTAGGGTAGTATAGTATGGAACGCCATAGCTGTCTTAAGGTATGGTACATAATATTACATGGTGTGTTCTATATAATAAAGGGTTGAATCAGTAAATTAAATGGTCGCCACTCCTTGATAAAGGGTTAAGAGCACATAATACATGGTGCATTCAATATGATAAATGGTCGGTTCATTATGTTAAATGGTCATCACTACTTGTTGTACGGTGAAAAATACATTATATATGGTGTGTTCAATATAATAAAGGGTCAGTTTAGTATGTTAAATGGTCATCACCCCTTGTTATAGGGTGAAAGGTGTATAAATGGTGCGTTCAATATAATAAAGGATCATTTAACCATGTTAAATGGTCACCGCCACTTGTTATAGAGTGAAACGTACATAATACATGGTGCGTTCAATATAATAAAGGGTCGGTTCATTATGTTAAATGGTCACCACTATTTATTATAGGGTGAAACGTACATAATAAATTGTGCATTCAATACAATAAAGGGTCGGTTCATTGTGTTAAATGGTCACCACTACTTGTTAAAGGGTGAAACGTACATAATAAATGGTGCATTCAATACAATAAAGGGTCGGTTCATTGTGTTAAATGGTCAACACTACTTATTATAGGGTGAAACGTGCATAATAAATGGTGCATTCAATATAATAAAGGGTCGATTTATTATGTTAAATGGTCACCGCTACTTGTTAAAGGGTGAAACGTACATAATAAATGGTGCGTTCAATATACTAAAGGGTCAATTCATTATGTTAAATGGTCACCGCTACCTGTTATAGGATGAAACGTACATAATAGATGGTGCGTTCAATATAATAAAGGGTCGGTTCATTATGTTAAATGGTCACCACTACTTATTATAGGGTGAAACGTACATAATAAATGGTGCGTTCAGTATAATAAAGGGTCGGTTCATTATGTTAAATGGTCACCGCTACCTGTTATAGGGTGAAACGTACATAATAGATGGTGCGTTCAATATAATAAAGGGTCGGTTCATTATGTTATATGATCACCATCCTTTGTCATACGGTTAAGGGTGTATAAGAAATAGTGCATTCTACATAACAAGGGGTCGGTTTAGTATGTTAAATGGTCACCACTCTTTGTTATAGAGTGAAAGGTACATAAATGATGTGTTCAATATAATAAAGGGTCGGTTTACTGTATTAAAAGGTCACCGCTACTTGTTATAGGGTGAAAGGCACATAATAAATAGAAATTAACACGTTTTAAAAA